AAGAGGGATCTGTTTACTTCATTTCCGGGCAGACTTGTTAGAAAATATACATTATTCTGAAAGCTGTTGATTAGCATATGAGAAAAAATAATTTTAAAAGCCCAAATTATTAAGTGTCATGAAACACTGTGCTTATATAAAGCCATATTAGAAAAAAAAAAAAAAGATAATCCTTTTTCGGAAAGGGATATTAGTTACTCTGTCTTTACTGGATATAAGTTCTTGCTAGAAAATTGAAGCTGCCAGGCTTCTGTTGTTGAAGACTGAGTTGCCAATGGTTGATAGTTTTTTCTGATTTTGACATAGACAATTACCAAAGAGAAGCAAGAAAATAAAAGGGAAACTTTGTGTTGAACTTATCGGGACATAGGATGAAGAGATGACCATGCATGGATAGATGTTTTGGTCTCATGCATAGGCTGTGACAGCAATAGTTTGGGACCAAGCTGGGATGTCATCTGACTCTTCTGGTCAAGTCCTATGCCTTCACTAGTCCTGGTCTCAAACTGCCCTGGAGTGGATGAACTATATTGTCTTCTCATGTTCCTGCAATACAATGTAGTCGGTCTTATGATTAGGTAAAAGATGAGAAAAAGTGACAAGAGGGGGACAACAAAGGTGTAGAGGCATGCACAACAGGAAAGATATAGAATATAGTGTGATCAGGCTGGAACACTGTCTTATCTAATTTTGACAACCGCACATCCTCATGAGTGTGCTGGTTTTGTCTTGCTGGTGTTAGAGATATGTTTGAAACGGTGCTCTCAGGATAATATAAAGCCTGTCAGCCTCTCACTGGGGAATCCCTTAGATTTCTGTCTATCCTCTCCATCCTAGAGGTCTCTTCATTATTTAGTATCTGATGAGGGCATGTTTCTCTTGTATACCAACCATTGTATTAGCAAGTCTTTTTTTTGGGGCGGATGCTGTCTTTCATAGGTACAGAGTATTGCAACATCTTAACTCCACTTCCCAAATGCTGCACTCACTATTAGAGGGAGTCTTCTTTAACTAGTAATTATAACTAGACTCAAGGGGAAGAAAAGCAACTTGGAAATGATTTATCTCTTCTGGAAGCAACAAGGTTGCATAATGATAATTCTGAAGTCTCCCTGTCTGGAAAACGAAACAGTCAAACAATAACTTATCACAAATTCAGAATGGCACAAGCATCTCGTGCAAACAGCTGAACTCCCTCAAATCCATTAACTTCAGTAGAAGTTAAATCATGCCTTTATAAAGTTGCCAAATAGCTTTCAGATCTGTATTTTCCTATAACTTTCATTTTCCTTGCCTTTTCTGTCCCGTTCCTTATTCCTTATATCCTGTCCATGGGTTAGAGCTCAATTCCCTTAGTGGTTATCAGTTTCTGTCGTTATTTCACTGTCACAGAATTCATAAGCTTTTCTTCCTAAAAGGATAGCTTTGTAATCTTTATTTCATTACTTTCTAGCAAACTCACCAAGATCTGATTCTGTTAGAAGATTATAAGTTTTTAAAAGGTCTGTTTAGACCTTATCACTTGGGAATAGAAAGGAAAAAGTTACAGGTGACACGTGAAAAGATTTTTTTTTCCGTTGTAAATCAGATCTGCATGCATTTTGAAGAATTGCACAATTTCTTGTACAGTCAACAGTTACATATATCTAATTTGCTTAATTAAGGATCATATGCACACACATCTGCTATTCCTTTCATTGATCCAGCATTGTTGTTTGCAGAAAGAGTAACCACAAGGGGAAGTTGAAGTGAAATGATCTTTTGATTTTACCAAGACTGGAAAGTAAATAATGAGAACATATTTATGCCAAAACAATTTTTGTGATCAGGCTTCTGTAAAGAAATATGCAGTTATATTGTAAATAATGGAGAATTGCACTTGTTTACACTGAGGTGTAATTAAGATCTAGTTGTGGAAGAATTCTGTACAAGTATATCGTGGTATCTGTGTGAGTCTCTGTTGAAGGCAGTGGGTGGCTGGGAAAGCACTGCATATACAAATATCCTTGATGAATCTATGGCATGGGAACTAAAACCTGGGTGTTGTTCTAGATTTGAGCAAACACATTTGAATAATGCAACCATCTCACATCAAAGCCAAGGTTACTGTGCACCTTACGTGCTGCTTCCCGTTCAGATCAGAAGCTGAAAAGCCAAAATATTCTGCACGAGTTTGCCAATAGAGCGCAAAGAGGAATTCTGGAAAATAACCCAAGTACTTCTTGTATGAGACTCATCTGTCCCACAGGCACTTTTCACTTTAGAGGGGAAGGGTAGGGGGAACTCAATCTCATTTCAGAATCTTTTCAAGTTCCCATTTCATGATTTACAACCTGTTGGGTGTGCTAATGGAAGAGGTAACTGCTGTCGCTTCTGGGAAGGGAAATACAGAAACTGTGGGGATTATTCTATAAGGAAGGCCACAAATAAAAGATTCTCTCTTTTTCCCAGTTCCCATCTGTCTACCTGGCCAGTCAGGTTGTGCATTAGAATCCACAATATGGCTTCTAGTATAACGTAGCTTATGAAAGCAGGAACTGGTGACATCCATTAACAGAAGCAGAAAGATTTCACAGAGTTTCTTACTCTCTTCTGATTCTTAGTGTTACCTCTACCACTTACTACTCACTGTAAGTAAATGAGAGAGACTAAATTGCTGATTGTAAACCCTTCCACACGCCCAGGAGCTTTTTACTCTTGAAGAGCTTGTAAGCCTGCGTGACTAGGGCAAAGTTTGTTCACAGTACTGGGAAGAAATTTATTGAAAGAAATCCATTGACAGTCCTAACATGGCAGTAGTGAATGGTTCAATGCATCTGAAAGCATGTGTGAATGTAATTGGTCTTGCTGTTGCAAAGATGTAAAAAACTTCTCAGAAACCATATATCATAACAAGAGAAGTTTCTTCAAAGCCACATTTCCAGCTTCCAAGAGGTCTACATGCTGAATGTCTCTTGTCCAGAATGTTCACATTCCTGTAGTTTGACACAGTAAGTTTTCTTAAATTTCAAATGGAAGAGGTTGCAGAAGAATCAAATTATTGCTATAACTTTCAAAAGAAATGAGCTGCTGAGTTGGCCAAGCAGCTGATCGGATTGTAAATTATAAGTTCTGAAGACTTCAGGCACTGAGGTAACTTTATAGTATCTCTGATGGTTCAGATTTTGTTACAGAAGTTAAAGAAAAAGCATGCATTACTGCAAAGTCAAAAGAGATCAGAGACAAAAGACTTTGTTATTCTCTCTGGCATTGCAATTAGCTTAACTTTCTGTTTAAGTGGGTAAAATCAGTGCTTTGTGAGGTATTGTGGGAGAAATCTTGAATGATTAGTGATACATATATGTATCTCTGCAGTGTAATTGTGTGTGTGTGTGAGTGCATATGCGTCAACCAGCAGCAGATGGCTTAAACCTGATAATCTCCATAGTAAATGTGTACTTCCTCCCTTCCCTGTATGTGCAAAAGAGATAAAAATATGGTGGTCTGGGGATAAGTTTCATATATTTCTATCTTGTTTTGGCTGCATTTATTGTAAGTAACTTTGCAGTACAGTACAAACAGTTTGGAAAGACTGAATTTCTTGGTGATACTGAAAGACTGGGAAAGTTAACTTCAAGTTGCAGAAGTCAAAGGTAAAACTATTCCAACATAAGAGGCAATTCATGTAATGTGATACAATCAAACAGAAGGCAAAAGGAGCAAAACCCCAATTTAGAAGCTCTTGTTAAGGAAGTAAAAAAACTTACTGAACACCCACTGAACTGTACTGAGTGAAGACACAGTTCATTCTTCAACCTCTTTCTAAAATTTCATTCAGAACCCTATTTATTGTGCTTTGTAGTGATACACCTTTGTTTCCAAACAAATGATTCACAGCCCTTCCTTGTTATAAAAGCTCTGCTTTATACCATTAGTCTTACATTTTAATTTCCACACACAAAACAGATCCCACGTAAACAAGTTGTGAGTCAGATACACCAGCGTATCTGCCATAGCTGCACCCCTGCTGCCACTGCTGGCTGAGAAGGGACTCCCTGCTGCAGAGGGCTCCTGGAACCCAGAGGTGGCCCAAGCCCAGTGCAGTGGGACCAGCTCACTCCTCTTTGCCCCAATCCTTCACTGTGCTGTGTTTTAATTTTACTGAATTCAAATGTATTGAGCTTTTGCTTTCAGTTCATATTAAAGACTGGTCCTGAAAGATATTGAATAGGGCTGACCAGTTAAAACATTTTCAAATGAAATTGGGTTTTATCCACTTGGAATTGTTCAACTTCTTTTTCCCCCCAAGAATTTAACTATCTTTGACAGTATCTGGGTGTATTGATTGTCATTTCTTCCTGTTTTACTCCATGTATTTTCATTTTCCATCCACACATGCACAGTTTTTTTCAGATACAAAATGGAGAAGAGAAACAAGGACAAAGTGAGGATGGGGGGAGCAGCAGGGAAAAAAAATGCTGAGAAAGGAAAGAAAAACTCACACACACTAAACCAGAATAATTTCTGTTTTCACAAAGGAACCTGCAGTTCTCCAAAGAGCTGGCAGGAATAATGTTAGTATGGTACATAATCCAGGTTCTAGTACAGTCTATGCTTCTCACTGCAGGACACTCATATTTTTAGGGATACATTAATTTCAAAGTAGTATGTATTTTCTTACATTTATTAGGTGTTCAGTCCCCAATTCCAGAAATAAACAGAAATTATAGTATGCCCAAAAGGAGCTGCATGACCACTCTCTAAAGGCAGTACCTGCACTGAAAATTTTAAAAGACTGTATAATCACAGCAAGAATATAAAAAAATGCTCAGCTTCTCTAACCCTACAGGAAGATGTGCTACAATATCTCCACAGCCAATCAGCAACACTACAAGCCTCAGACCAGGAAACTCTTTAAAGTACAGTATGTGTGAACATTGCAACAGGGACTTTCTCATTGCTGCTCTTTCTTTTTCTCTTCTTTATGCTCATAGGATGGCAAGGCATATGTGAAGTCACACATGGTGAAATTTAACACGGATAACAGCCCCACAGAGGATGTTTCTAGTAACAGTCGACCCTTCAAAGTCTTAGGACAACCTATCCATACGGGATTACAGATGAGGAAAGCAGCACTTGAGAAATTTGCCAGTCAAGGAAATGCAACTTCTCCTTCAGGACCCAGTACTTTTCACAAACCTGTTCATCCTAAGCCTCCTCTGGGGGTCAAGCCTTCAATTGATGATAAGACAGAGAAGGATCCAAAGCCCCCATATTTGAAACCAGTGGCACAAAGGTTTGGGGTTCAGCTTCAGGCAACAAACAGAGAAAACGATGGAAAAGCTGGATGCACTAAAACCACCATGAAAACCAGTGACTTGGCAAAGGAAGAGCCAAAGTTTCTGTACCCAAAACCTGCAGAGAACAAGTTCCTAAACTCTGCTCCTCATGAGAAAGAAAAAAATCCTCTGGGAACAAAATCAAATTCAAATTTTGCACCATCGGAGAGTGAGGCAAAACTAGCATTTTCAAAAGTAACTGGAGTTAAGGAAAAGTTCATGTCTGCAACACAAGAAAATGAGCCCAAGCCTCCTTTCTCTAAACCACCTCTGGCACAGAAACCTTCTCTAAACCATGAAGTCTCCCACAACAAAGACACTTCCAATAAAAATGTTTTTCTGCAAAAAGGACTATCAGGCCCTAGAGCAAATGTACACTCATTTAAAGCAGCAAAGGAAACGGATGAAAATAGTAACTGTGCTGCAGAAGCTGCAGGCAGTCATTTTTCTAACATGGCCCTGAAGCCTACTGGCCACTGGTCCACCTCATCTCAAGGCACCCCCAAAAACGTGGAGGAAAAGCCTGAAGAAAAGGGAATGAGTGCTGCCAAGAACATCTTTCTCAACAAAATCATCCAGGAAGAATCAGGTTCTTTTTATCCTAAATTCCATAAGACGAACACGGCACTTGCTGCAGGAAGGCCATCAGGTGGATCACAAGAGAAAGAGGATGGGGACGGGAGCTCAGGAATCCCCAAGCGGAAGGCTTTGCCCCCACTGTTCAAGCTGGGCCAACCCCCACAGAAGCCCAGCAGACCCCCCAGCGTGGACCTGGAAAGGTTCCGGAAGAGCAGTCCAAAAGACAGTGAGTCCTCTCTGTTCTTGCTTTCTTGGGTATTGGCTTTTTTATGCATTTAGTACTGGATTCACTTCAGGTGGAATCCCCTCTTCTGTTCAGAAATAACATGAGACTTGTGCATCAGACAACCCCTTAAAGCTTTAACCTATTCCTGTGTCTCTTCCATACAGGACAGAAATTAAAATTATATTCTCCCTCCCTCAGCAATAAAGTGTAGGATGAATGCTTTCTGTATTGGGTTTACTTGTTTTTCAAAACTATTTAGATGTAGCTATAACTTGTGTCAGCGAATTCAAGTATGTTTCTCAACAGACATTTAAGCCCTGACTTCCTATAAATGAGCTATTGTCGTTGTGTGTCTTGTTCTTGACAGTAACTTCCTGGGCACAGCTTGAGGGCCACCAAAATGATATACTACAACCTGTAGTAACCACACTTTTTTTTCTTTTTTTTGCCTTTCACAATGACTAATCACAGCATGACCCTGTAAGTTGCTGTATTTTAAAGTTTGTTTAGAAAGTTGAACACTATGCAAAATTACAGAATCAATTGTTCCCACATGGAGCTGCGTCGGTTTTATACCTGGATCTGAATCCAGAATCCAAAAGCATCTCCTGGACTTGATGTTTTCTGTTAGGTTTGCATGACTTCAGTAGTGTGGCAGTTAGTAGCACCTGAGGCTCTGCCTCACTATTTTTGTGAAGAACCAAGCTTCTGAACTTTCTGATGGTCATAATCCAGGCATGAATATTAAGGCTTGTCACTAGGTTTCTGTAAAATCTAAGATGGTCTTGTGATGAGAGCTTCTATAAATACATTTGAAATATCTGGGAGGACACAAATCCCTGTGAAAAAACAAAATTGCTGTGACTCCACTTCTGCAAAGAGTTCTGCTTCAACATGTTCCTTTCACTGCATAAGACAAGTTGCAACAATGATATAACCTGCTTCGGAGGCATTCAAAGTGTGCCCTTGAAAATCTCATGTAAAAAGGTAGTTTCCCAAAGTCAGACCCACATATCCACTGCTATCTCCTTGAAGGAGAGAGAGTTTTGTGGAGGTTCTGAATATCCTTAATTCTCCCTTAAATCACCCATATTTCAAACTTTTGCGTTAAGGTTTTCTTCCAAAGCTTTTAGGCACTCATGGACAATTCTAAAAAGTTAAAATCAGCAACTCCAGTTGGAATGCGTAATGCCAACTGAAACATTTCTATTACAAGTTTTATAGTAGCTGAAGGAGGCTTTCTCTTTTTTCTTATGGCACCAGGTGCTAGGAACTATGATTGCATAAGAAATTCTGATCACATTTTAAAATCAAAGTTTTAAGTTGTATGGGTCCAGAGGAAAGCTGTTCTTGATCTCGGTGCATGAGAGAAACAAGGATAGAACTAAAAATTTATTATTGTGTTAAATTTTTACATATGGAGTTTTTTTTCATTTATTTCTTTTTTTTTTTTCTTAATGCACTGCTGTCTGCATTGACCGCAGGAAGCAAAGAATATATTCAATCCTCACATATATTTTTTTAGCTCAAGTAGTTTTAACTAGTTATATCCTGCAACTAATTGTGTCAGGTGATACACACAGCTAAGTAATTTCTGATAATGAGGGGCATTTCATACATTGGTCTGCCTTAACCACTTCTCTTAAGATTTAATTAAACAGATCAAACTTAGACTCTTAAATTTTCAGTGTAGTCAGTGGGAAAGGGAGATGCCCAATGGTGTGATTCAGAGTGTTAAAGTTAGATGCCTAATGTAGCTGACAATAGATGCTCTGAATAACTCCACACTGTGCATGTGCAGTACATCAGGTACATGCATGTAATTTAATTGATACAAAATTTGTCCTTGTGCCTTCCCTATTTAGAATATAGCATGTCTTGTGCTTCAGCAGTTTTGAATGCATATAAGACTGGTCTTCCTGAGACAGAATACATTCAAAGGGGTTATGACTGGATGAAAAAGCTCAGAGCTGATTTTCTCTAAAGACAAATAAAACACCCAAAAACCACAATGTGCATGCAACTATATGTTCTGTTATTATTAATTCCACTCAAAAAATAGGAGCATATCAGTAACATAAAACGTCCTTTCTTGTCAGCTGCTACATTCTGATTTTTCTGTGCCACCCTACAGTTGTGGAAATCTTGCAAATTCATGATCACGGCTAGATCCTCAAACAATGTAAATCTGTGTATCATCTCTTTAAAAGAAATATGCCAATATACAACAGTCTGAGCAGCTGCCCTTTCTCCGTAAAGCACTGTTCAGCATAACTGGCTTTACTCAAGTGCCCAGAGCAGCCTCAAAATGGAAAGGCAGCATTTTCAGCAAATGACACCAGCATATGTTTTGACTAAACAGAAACAATGAGAACTTCGATAGCTAGAACTTTGACAAGTCCTGACAAAGGCTGGAAACACACAAAACTGCAGTCAGTTTTTTAAAATTACATTTTTTAGTTTATTTTTAAATAATTAATGGAGGAATGATTTTGTTTGTTTGTTGTTTATTCAATTATTCAATTTTTTTTTCTGTTTCCCATGCAGTTATAGATGCAAAGCATTTTTTCATCCTCTTTTTAAAACTGAGGGTTAGAAATATCTATCCCATGCATTTGAAATTAATACCGTGAACAGGGCTGCAAGGATAACACCAGAACTTTTGCTAGAAGGAGGATCTCCAGTTGTCACTAACCAGCACTAGTGCAGCCACCAGCCTGGATGAATGGCACTGGCAACGTGAGCTGGACGGAGCTGCCCTGTGTGGTGGCACAGGTTGTTCTCCAAACGTTTTGCAAAATGCACACCCAACTAAGTAGAACTGAAGGGTCAGACATAGTCTTCTCTACTTCACAGTCTTTGGGTCAGGGCAAGACTGAAAGATGTAGAAACCATATCAATATGAAGCTGTTCATAGTGTCCCTGAACTTCAGCCTTTCCCTGTAGAGCTGGCATGTAGACCCTGATGTTCTGTTTGGCTTTATTTAATGCAGCTCATTTCTTTGTGGCCAGAACTCTCCACAGAACAGTTCTGGTGGAGAGACCAGGTGTTCTAGAGTGAATCCTGAACAAACGTGTTTTCAGCTTAACGAAGTTATTCATTGCTGCTGGGTTTCTTGGAACATTGAACTCAAATGACAAAATCTACCTGCTTTGGAAAGGCAGTTAAACTGAATCGTTTTCTCTTTTTTTTTTTTAACTGTCATTTCAAGAATCAAAGTCATGTCAGGAAGATGCCACCCCCACAGCACAAATTCTTCCTGCTCATTACTTTGTCCTGATAAACAGCAACTTGCCATAGTTGTTTAATTTGCTGTTGTTATTCAGGTGCTGAGTAAAAAGAAGAATAAGCAAATGGAAATGGTTTTCCCATCCAACAAAGCTTTCCAAGATCTAACCTTTGGGGGTTTTGATGTGTACTAGGGCAAAAGTTAGGCTTTGTGTTGTCCTTTGAGAAGAGAAACCTCCACACATGGTGGCTGTTAGACTCGTGTTAGGGGCACGTGCCTAGGGTGCAAAAAACCTTGTGTTGCCTGATTTAAACCAGGAGTTTGAACTCAGCTTTCTCAGAAGTATCAAATCGCCCCTTTTTCTTTAGTTGTTATCCTTTCCCCGGAAAGCTGCTTTACTGTTGTTTCATAATCAAGTATTCACTGGGCATGAAATAACTTTAAACATTAGAGGCTGAAGGATTTACCGTAGATGCAGCAGTCTTAGTCATGTATGGGAGAAGGATTTAAACTGTCCACCATGCCTGCATGAATACTAAGGGATGCTGGTTTGGTGTTGGCCTTGCTTTGGATTAGAAATTCTCACCTGGTCCTGAAAAACTGTTCTTAATAAAGCTTCTGTAGATACAAGTGTCTTGCTGAGGGAAGTTTGACTATTGATGCATTACTGTTTCCCAGTGAAGGCAGGCTTTAAGAAATTCCTGTCTGGGACTGTGAATACATGGCACTCTGGTAAACTCCTGTGTTATGTCCCATTACAGCAATTTCCCCTGAGAGTAGGTCATATTTACATCAGCTCAGAATCAATGAGATGCATGTTTTTCTAGATTTAGAAAATAACACTAATGATACTGTTTTATAATAAACACTCAAAGTGCAAAGAGGACTTTGTTAGAAAAAAGAAGAGAAGCAAAGCCATTTTGCTGACAGCTTTCCATGTGAGGCCACACTGTACCGTTGCTTTCAGAGGAGAACTGCACCTGGGCTGACCTCAGTGGGATCGTGCGGGTACAGATGGCCACCCACATAAAGTCAGTTGAAGGCTCATAGCCCCTAGTGCTCTAAACACCTCTGAAGACCTTGTGAATGATCAACACCGGGGCTTCAGATAGGGAGAATATTTTGAGCTGTACTGGGAGAAATGAAAGGAAACTGTACTGAATCTAGGGGAAAAGAAGACATGTAAGAAAATTCTCGTGATTTATAATTTGTGTTACGGTTGTGTCTCCAGTCCTTCTGTTCTGCGACGGATTGTGTAACCACACAGTGGCACGGTTATTTGAGTTGGGTAAGACAACCAGAGAGAAAGGAGGAATGAAAATGTGAGGTGCATTGTCAAAGTTATCACAACACTCTGTTGGAAAATTAATTAACAATCAAGCACCGTTCCTGAGGACAGTAAATGTCTTAACTGTCTTTGCAAAGCCCCTTAGAACCAGTCACTTGTTGCTCTTGATGGCAAGATGAAACAGCAGCTTCCAAAGTTGTAAAGAATAGGGGATTTTTTTATCACAGGATGTCACTGCTGTTTTGCTGCAGAATCTGGACTTAAAAGGTCAATGAAGGTTTTCTTTTTTCACCTCAATGCTAGATTGGATAAACTTATACAACAGCTCAGTATTAAGGTGTAAGGGGATAAAAAGAATTGTAACTTGAGCCAAATCATCTGTTTCTAAGACAGATGAAACTAAAAGTAAGTGATGATATCAAACACCACTGTTCAGGGTAGGGTGGGGGTAGCTGTGCGTAACGATGTGATGCCCCTGTTTG